AAGTAAAGAATAGGTAGAATATTCATAAATTTATAGATGGAAAACAGATACAAAAAGAGTAGTGACTTTTTCCAAGGCCATAAGGTTACAAAGTAAAGGACTAAAAATGGGAACAAAATATCATTAACTTGACAGTCAGTGATACAGTCTTTCCAAAGACCTCTTTCTCTTTTATGCAAGCATCCCCAAAGTGGGCTGCAAATGAGCTGCTAGGACTGAATTTTGGAGGGTAAACTAGGTGGAAGGTAAACATCTTAAAAAGGTCAAGAATATTGAACCAGTCAAAGATCAAAATAAATAACTTTTCATTGCTTGTTCAGTTTACAAGTACTTGTTAAGTAAAGCAAGTGAGAATTTTCAAAGGACAGCAATCATCTGTCAGAAGAGAAGAAGCTAATTTTACTTGACCTGCATCAGGGTTGTGTTCACTCCAAGTAATTTCTCAGGCAGTTTTACAATTATCCTTATTTTTCTTTGTAAAGGAGAAACTGATTTACTCTAGAGCATAATTTTCAGAATCACAGCCTTTAATCATCCATCAGGATGAGTCTGGGGCCATAAGGTTAACTATGTAACATATTATAGAGGATCAGTACTGGTTAAATGAGAAGGTATTTTAATATTCAAAATGTTAAATTTTCAAATACACAATGGGACATAGTGAATACGAACAGTTAAAACCCTTGTCCCACTCAAAATCTTTTGTGGGAGCTGCTAAAAAGGAGATCAGTTGGCTTTTCTGCGTTTTAGTCTTTCTTCCTGCCTCTGTTCATTCTCTTATGGAGGTAAAGCAAGAAGTTTAAAATGTGAAGAGAAGAGAAGCACAAGGGATGGATAACAAGTTTAAGCTCCAGAGTGACGAGTCACCACCTAAAAAGGAACAAAATGGGCCCATGGCACTGCTACAGTCAAAAACCATACTGTTCACCCATACCTTACTTCAAGTTCTTTTGTTTTACAAGCAATACCTAGCCCTATGCATACTCCAATACCTGCATTATATAGGTATTGTTTCATCCTCACCAGTAGGTGTTGTATTTATTTTACACTAAGTCTTCTACTGTTGAGTCTCCAGTCACTAAAGCCAACTTAGATACTTCAGATACTAAACTATTTAGTAGTGGAGTTATGAAACAGAGCCAAATGGATTAGGCAAGCTTAGAGTCTACAAAGAAATTGAACAACTGAACCAAGCCAAGAACAGAGTGCCTAATTCTTAGTCAGAAGTTGACTTGCTGGGCCTAGATTCCTAAATGGGAATATGGCTGTACAGAAACTCTCCCGCTTAGAACTTCTACAGACCTGTGAAGTGGGGCACAAGCATGGGAACACAGTAATATGTACTTTTTTTTTTTTTTGGCCGTGCCATGCAGCTTGCAGGATCTTAGTTCCCTGACCAGGGATCAAACCTGAACAGAGAAAGCAAAAGCATGGAGTCCTAACCACTGGACCACCAGGGAAGTCCCAGTAATATGTACTTATTATCTGGTCTTATATCAAAAAGAACAATAGAAGTTGGTCATATTTTTAAGAAGAGGAAAAAAAGAAGATAGAAGAGATGAATCTGCGGTTCTTGATGACTACTATACCCAGAGTTCAAGACAGGTGACCACATAAGGCAACGGTGGAATACACAGTGACCATTATGAGTGAGAGAATGAAACCAGGAATGATGAGTGGGATATCCATTCCTATCTATATTAAGGTTTAAGTACTAGAACCTGAGAAAAGTCTCAGCCCATTGCCAGGCTACATATAAGTCAGAGGGAGTTCAGTGAACGAAGTGATTAGAAGAGTTTGAAAAGACAAAAAAAAAGAAAGCTTACCCTTGATGTAGCTGTATATATACAAACTAATATACATAAATATTCTACAAACCTATAAACCGGCTTCCCTGGTGGCGCAGTGGTTGAGAATATGCCTGCTAATGCAGGGGACAGGGGTTCGAGCCCTGGTCTGGGAGGATCCCACATGCCGCGGAGCAACTAGGCCCGTGAGCCACAACTACTGAGCCTGCGTGTCTGGAGCCTGTGCTCCGCAACGAGAGGCCGCGATAGTGAGAGGCCCGCGCACCGCGATGAAGAGTGGCCCTCGCTCGCCACAACTAGAGAAAGCCCTCGCACAGAAACGAAGACCCAACACAGCAAAAATAAATAAATTAATTAATAAACTCCTACCCCCAACATAAAAAAAAAAAAACCTATCAATGAACACAGACAGGTATAAAATAAAAACAGGAACCTCAAACATTACGTTTTGAATTATTTTACTTGGATTCAGAGGGTTTGGATAATCACCTAATCTGTATAATCACCTAATCTGTATATTCATTTACGGGACTGTAGATGGTTAGGGCAGGCCAACAAACATCTAATTTATAAGAGTCCTAAATTCCTTGGGAGAAATGATAACGGGGACTTTGGAACTAGCTGATGGTTCACGCCACCAAGACACTAAATTATGACTTTCAAAAGGAAAGACAGGGCTTCCCTGGTGGCGCAGTGGTTGACAGTCCGCCTGCCGATGCAGTGGATACGGGTTTGTGCCCCGGTCCGGGAAGATCCCACATGCCGCGAAGCGGCTGGGCCCGTGAGCCATGGCCGCTGAGCCTGCACGTCCGGAGCCTGTGCTCCGCAACAGGAGAGGCCACAACAGTGACAGGCCCGCATACTGCAAAAAAAAAAAGTAAAGACAAAGGTTGCCCTGAATTGGCAGGGGACGGACGGGGGAAGACTAGAGTATCAGAGGCAGCACCAGAATATAAAAAATGAACATGTACCACCTTAAGTGCAAGCACCTAGGCTTGGAAGACATTTGATTCGGGAAGAAATACTTCTCACATGACACTAGGTGGTGCCACTCCAAGGCCCTCTGGCCCAGGGCAGCCCCTAGGTAAGAGTTTTCTAAATTCCGGACAGGAGAGGAAGGAAAGGATGCTGAGCAGTGGAAGGGAGCAATGCGGCAGGGTTAGCGTGAATGCAGAAGCCACTTAGCAGCCCAGGGCATTTCAGAATGACTGAAAGAATTCTAATCTCCAGCGAGGATGCCCTGACCAGTGCGGCATCAGAGTTGGAGAGTGGGCACTGGCAACGGCAAGAGCTGTGTAACTAGCGGAGAAGAGACAGACACTCCCGGGAAAGGACAAAGGACCCATGCGCAGGCCCAGAAACAACAACGCTGGCTGGTGACTCCAGCTGAAATACTCCTGGGATTCTCACCTAAGTCCTCATCCCCAAGAGCTGCCACGGTCATCTCTCCTCAACATAACGTTCAGAACTGGGGAAACAATGACTACCCCAAAGACTAAAGCCGGAAGTGTACCCCCGATAACGACTTCCTGCAACTCTGGGTTAAAAGTCCGGCTCGGCTTCAAACATGTTAAGTAAACCACGCTCCGTAACCCATGATGATGAAGAATGCACAGGCAGCGTGAAGTCAATGGAAATCCACAGTACCAGGTATCCAGACCCATGACCAGCAGGGCCACGGAAGGGGTGTTAAGGGTTACTCCAGAAGCCCAACATCTATGATCATCGAAAGGCACCTGACAACTTCATTTTTTGTGCATGCAGACAATAACAAAGGCTTTTATAATGTTGGCTTTCCTAAAACTCATAAATATTTCAAAGAAATTACAGTGAAACCTGGCTACATTTTTTTCTATTTGCACCAGAGTGCTTTTAATTTTGAAGTCCAAGTAAGTAAACAGACAGCTGAGAGATTTAATACTTTGTCTTACTTAGATCTGACCAATTTAGAAAGTAAATACCATCCCAAGCAAGTGTTTAACTGACAACTTAGAGTTGAGAATTTCTAAGTGGTTCACTGAAAAAGACAAAACAAGGCACAGTCTGTACTTAATTTTTCAAAGATAAAGACCTCTTCAAAGTCTAACCTACGTCTATTTCTGATCATTGGAAAATCAATCAGGATCTTACCTGATCAGCCTTAAGTTAGCATTTAAGTACTCCCACATCTTCAATACCCGAGTGCAATCGATGCAGTAAGCCTTAGTACTTAAACATTTATTTGCATGAATTGCAGGAAATAACGGCTAATGCAGCTCCTATTGTGTACCAGAAGCAATTTTTTGGTTGGAAGAAATTAATGCAGTTATGGGTCTGTTCCTGCTCAAAACTTAGAATTAAGAATTAAAATGCTGTTATCACCCTGTATTCAATGAAACATACACCTCAGTCTTCCCCTTTTTTAAGCTTAATACACAACTGCAATATGAATACAAATGCAACTTTTAAAAACTCTCTAAAAATAAGAATAAATTCCTATAGCTTAAAGAAACAACATTGTAACAATATGCTTAAAACCGGTCATTGAAAGTAGGATCCACAAGTGCATCTTACGCAGCCTTTTTTTTTTTCAACGTGGCTTAAGTTTCGGTTTAGGAAAAGTTCACAGGTAACATTTGCAGGAGTGCTAAATATTTATGTCCTGAGCAAAATGACTGAACTCTACGGTCATTATTACCACCTTGTTATCTGCAGCAGAAGAACACAAATTTAGAGGGCAAGTTAACAGGTTTCGATGACTCAAGTTCGCTTAAACACAGAACAAAAGTCACCTTGGCACACAGATAATGAAATCAGTTTTGCGTTTCTCAGTTCTGGGCTCCCTGAGACGTGGGGAGATGCTCGCCAACGTTATCGAGGAGGGAGGATACCAGGCGTTCTGTTCTGTTTTTAAAGACCTTTCAAAAGCAGGAAAGTGAGTAGGGACGAACTCCCCGGGCCGCAGCCCTCTCTCTCCGACGCACCTACCTGGCTGGGCGTTTGCCGCCAGGGCCTCGGCGCTGCGCGCGGACCCGCCCGAGGAGCTGTCAGCGGCCGCGGAGCCTCGGGAGCTGCGGCGGCTCCGCGCGCCCACACCAGGGCGGCCCCGGAGGCAGCGGCGGCCAGGGAGCTCGCAGCCGGCAGTCCCACGGCGCCCCCCGCCGCCCTCAGCTCCCTCGCCGCGGCCTAGCGCCGCCCGCCCGCCCTTCTCACCTGCGCGGCTGCGGCGCCGCTCCCGCCGGCGGTCGCTCTCGTAGAAGCCCAGTGTCTCCGTGTGCTGAGGTGCCGGCGGGGGCCCGTGACCGCCGCCGCCCGGCTGCTCCGCCTCTCCGTGGCCTTCCCTCTCCGGGATGTCGGCGGCGCCGCCGCCGCCTTCTCTCTGGGCGGTCGCGTCGCCGACGCCCGCCATGTTCCGAGCACAACAAACCTTCCCCACCGCCTCCCCGCCGCCTCCCGCCCGGCCTCCGCCTCCGGCCGGCCCCCTTCCCGCCTCGCCCCGCCCCTCGGTGGAGCCCGGGCCGCCGCTGCCACCACTATCCGCGGCCCGCCGGCCGGCGCGCGCCATTAGCGTCAGCTGCGCGTGAGAGGCCGCAGCCGTCACGGCCGCCGCCATCTTCTTCCTGCCGTCGCCGTAGCGCGCGCTGGCTTCCCGCGCCGTGCCGGGCTCGGCAGTCTTGGACCCGGCGGCGGGCTCCATGCAGCCGGGTCGCGCGGCCGGGGAGAGCGAGCGCCTCCGGGGCTCGGGTCGGGGCCCCGGCGGGAGCGGGGCAAGAGCGGAGGCGGCGGCGGCCGGAGGGTCGGCCGAGGCGCCCCGGGTCGGCGGCCGCTGCGTCTGCTGCCCGCTGTCTGTGAGGTGGCCGGCCGCTCGCCCGGGGCCCGTTTTGCAGGCTCGGTGCCCGGAGTGCGCCGGCGCCGCCCGCCCGGTCTTGGCACAGCTCGCGTGGCCGCGGCGCTGAGGGCCCGGCTCCAGATTCCCGACCCCCGCGAGGCCCGGCCCCATAGGTCCGCTATCTGGGCTCCATCTCCTCTGCATAGTTATGATCACCTGTCACATTGCCTGGCCTCTAGGTTTTTGTTGACAGTTTCCAAAGCACTTGGGCAAGGAGGAGCCCGGAGATGCTACCCAACAGGTGGGGGCGCGGAGGAGAAGCGATGGTCTCAGGGACTCAGCCCTAGGAGCAGGGTGCTTTATACGTTTCCCGCGCCCGCGGACAAACCAGATTGTCTTTCGGCATTAGGGTTCGGATACAGCTCTTGGCCGCCGTGGTGCCCTTGCTCCATCACCTGGGCGACCTCTTTACTTGGGGTGACTGTCCTTTGCAGCTCAGGCGTGTGACTGCGCACCGAGGGCGGTGCCGAGACCACCGCTGCCGCAGGGCTCCTGGAAGTGAAGATGCCCGGGGCTCGGGGAAGGGGCCGGGCACTCCATTTAGGGGGACCGTGACAGGTCGATTTCTCTTCTGCCAACTTCACGTGTACCTCTGGTACCCTTTTGACTCAAAAACGGAAAACTGTAATTCTTCCCTTAGCATTAAGCTGTCTGGAAATTACCCTAGACCTAAACTTGAGAGCCAGATATAAACGGGTGTGAATAGAGCAAAGTCGACCTCGTGTTAATTCACCAAAGACCTTGAGTGTTCTGTTGTCACTAGTGAGTACCTACTTGGTTGCAGACTCACAGTGGGCTATTTTGGGCACCGTGCTTAGGGCAGCCGCCTAACAGTCTAACAGCAGGGTAAGAGACGGGCGAGCGACCAAGGTGGACCAAAAAGGCCCCGTAGCTAGGAACTGACCCTCGGCCGCCAGTGAAAGGAGGAACTGATGCCTTTGGAACATCCTTATTCCCCTTCATGAAACGGAACAGTTCAGAGGATGACATTTCTAAACATTCCTGTGACCATGAAATTCTCTGTTTTGGTTATATTTGGTCAAAACTGAGTTAATGAATCAATCAAAAACAAGTGCTGTGGTCAACTCTTCAGAATCATTTTGAAAATCAAAAGGTACTGAAAATTGTATGGCCTCTAAGATTCCTTTACAGTTCAAATTCTATTATTCTCTGATCTTTTATAGTGTAAAACCATCCCATTCTATTATGCACTGATTGTGAAGAAGGAAGTAGGCTTTTATTGCTTGTTTATGTCAGTTCCCAAGTGCTGTCTCACCACATTTATTGGCTTATGGCCCCTGCTTTTAACTCAACAGGAGCTGGAAGGGAAGGAATCTAAAATTCTGTTTCCTAAGGCAGCCAGTTGTAGGAATGGATTTCTCTCATTTTCTGTAATAGCCTGAGGAAGAACATGGTGTTCCAAAGTCTGTCTCTGTCCTTTGAAATAGTCAGCAAAGAGAGGGAGGGAGCAGTGTGTCCAGGCCGGGTCTGAAGGTGTTATAGCAGGGGAGCAAAGCAGAAATGGGAAAGCTGAAGCTCTTGTAGCTTTTCATCAATTGGGTCTTTTCACTGGAGCTGCATTGTTTGATCTGACATTTTGTGAAACTGCACAATTTCAAACACATGAGTCGAATATACTAAAAAGCATTTTAGAAATGAACATTAATATAAATAATTTTTTCAATTAACACTATTCTTTCCTTGTCTAGGTATTGGTAATTAGATAATCAAATATCTTACTGTGTATGAAAATTTTTCTCTGACTTAATTCAACCCATTGGCAAATTTTCAGAATCCAGGAAAAGGGTATTATCAAATAGGTATTCTAAATCATCAAAACTTAAGTTACACATAATCTTAAGAAATAGTTACAAAGCATAGAAAACAGTTCTCTGAGAACAATAAATAGAACTTAAAATATCATAATGTTCTTTATATCAGTTGTAGAACAAAAGATATAAGCTTAGATTTATAATGCCACCGTTAGGAAATAATAGGAGTAGTTCAAAAACATGATAACCCTCGCCATTAAAGAGACATCAAATAACATTCTGAGTTAAATTATAAGTTAAAAGCAGAATTTGGATAACAATGAGCTACAGGAATTGAACTTAAAACACGAATTCAGCAAACAATAGGATGGTGTGCTGTTAACATGTCACTATATTAGTTGCTAGTGAAAGAGAGAATTCATTGGTGGGTAATAGTTTCAGTAGAGGAAAGTGATGAGCAAGAATGAGAAGCGGAGAAGATTCTTACATGTAAACAGTACTGAAGGAAAAAAATTCAATGAGTGAAGAAACTTCTTAAATAATAAGGGATTTATATATTCAAATTATATTTTAATATATATGCATAATAACTATGATTATATAAATTCAATTAAGAGTTTGTAAAATTGCTACACGTATTCTTAACTGTATTATTTTTTTAATTTTAAAATTTTATTTTATTTTTTTGTACAGCAGGTTCTTATTATCCATTTTATACATATTAGTGTATATATGTCAATCCCAATTAACTGTATTCTTTACCTAATGGTGGTAATATCTACCATGTAGCTATTGTATTTTGAAAATAGCAAAACGCAAAATGTTGTTTTTAAAAAGAATGAAAATTGGATGAGTAGTGTACACAAAACAATAGATAGCCTATTTTAGTAAAGATTTAATGATTGTGATTTTGTGACTGAACAAAATACATTGGGCACATTGTGTAGGAACCATGGATTCAAGCTCCAGAAAATTATCTTATGAAGCCTATAAACTCTGGTTCTCAGTATCTTTCGCTGGTAAATGGGGCAATACCTATACTACAGTAGGAGCTGAAAAAAATAAGATTTCCCTTTTTCTTCCTCCTCAGTGCTAACTTCGAATGCTTCCTTTTGTTTAGACTGAGTAGGTTTTACTTTTCAACTACAAAGCAGTTTATCTCTTGATAACATTTCTGGTATATTTCCCCTAAAATATGTTTGGAATTAGTTTCATATACTTTTCCTGAGTAACGGGAACATCAGGCACTTTGATGACTTGAAGGGGCCCTGAATCAAGAGAAGGCCTAGACCCTCTGGCTGTCCAGTCAAAGAGTCTTTTGATCTAAGGTGACACATGTGACCTCTCTATGCTTCATTTTCTCCACTGTAGAGTATTACACCAGATTACCCTGATGGCCTCTTCTAAAATTTTCTGATAAAACCCTTCCAAACCCTTTTCAGATTCTTGGACCCCTGGGTTATAAAGAGCTAGATATTTGCCTATACTCTGAAGATTCGTAGAAAAGTATGAAATCCTTAATTATAGAGTGACTTTGTAATTGGGTCTAAAATTCGAATGCAGGGAATTCAAATGCAGTAACTTTATTGATAACACATCCAAGGTGTGTCATCTTTAATGTCCCTACTTTATGAGCTAAGCATTGGCTCTTCATCCCTTTGTGTGAGGAGAACTGGTGGTTCCCACTGACCTTTCCACTCCTCACCCCAAGACTCAGGGTTTCTGTGCTTCTTACAAGTTTTCTGTACTGGACACATGCATAACTCTTAAGAACACCGCTTGGGACTTCCCTGGTGGCGCAGTGGTTGAGAGTCCACGTGCCAGTGTAGGGGACACGGGTTCGTGCCCCGGTCTGGGAAGATCCCACATGCCGCAGAGCGGCTGGGCCCGTGAGCCATGGCCGCTGAGCCTGCGTGTCCGGAGCCTGTGCTCCACAACGGGAGAGGCCACAACAGTGAGAGGCCCGCGTACCGCAAAAACAAAAAACAAAAAACAAAAAAAACACCGCTTGAAGGTAGCATTTAACAGCAACTGAAGAGGTATTTGAGATGATTACTGTTGTACCACTCATTTTGGTAGTATAGATTCAACCACTGAATAGAATACAGTTTAGAATAATTCTGTATTTCCCAATTGAAAATTTATTTTAGCAGTACATGACTTCTATTCTCTAAACCATAAATACCACACATCTAATTCACATAATGTAGTACTGAATTTAATTCATTCACCCTTGTCTTTCCAAGAGAAAAGTATGAATTGATGTTTTCAGAAAATCCGAACAGCATTGCAACTGATGTTCTAAAGAAATAAAATATACTGAGGGCCCCAGAGCAAGGCTTTGCAGTAAATTTATGTGAGTTTATTGAATCTCTGAGTTTCAGTAATAATACTTTCTATCTTCAGCAATCATCTTTTTTGGACTGATACTTATTATGTTTTATCCTGTCTGGGCTTTATTCCATGGATTTCTAAAGGACATCAACTCTGTTTCTGGAAGATCTAGCACAAATTGAATAATGTGCCTTGGATTCTAATGTACCTGTTACAACTTAACTAAAACGGTCATGAGCAAAATCTTTTTTCTAAAAGCATTTCTCTAGCACAAGAATATAGGACTGAAAACATTTTAAACAGGACCTATTGAAAACTGTATTTTGTTACAAGATATATTTTATAAAAGATAGTCTGTTCTGAAGACCTAAAAGTAGGTTTTGTTTATGTAATAAAAGTATATGAATGTAAATC